CCCAAAACCCCAAAACCCCAAAACCCCAAAACCCCAAAACCCCAAATGGACACATAAAGGTTGAATCAATTTTATTTCATAAATTTAAAAATGATTGCTTTCATAATCATTTGAAGTCTCTATGTAGTCTTCCAAGCTATATATTTACTCTTTATGAAAGGGAAACCAGAGAGAATACATCGGTATCTTTCTTGAATTAATGTGCCATGGTTGGTAAGTATAAACCTAATCGAACATTTTGTGATTTATCAACTTAAATTTGAATTTGATGAACAAATAAAGATATGAACAAGAAGTTCACTTTCATAACTGTTTCATATCTAAGCTAGTGAAGATTGATTATGACGACTGACCATTCTTTTAGGTGTATCTACTCAACTTGACAGTACTATTCTTGGTGTTTGGTGTTCCCTTCATCCTCTACATCATATGGGGTAGCCTCCTCATCGCAGATGATGATGTAAACTCCCATGTTGGATTTGGAGTGATGTTCCTCCTGTTCGCAGCCCATCTCTTCGCACTTGGAGCTATCAATTGGTATGCAAGAAAGTGGAGGATCACACTTTTCAACTTCGGATGTCTCGTTTTGTCAATCGTCTTCCTATGGCTGTATCTTATATTTGTGATCACGTTGCCTGACTACTTCTCATTCACAGGAACTTCAGCTGTATTTTTGGGTCTAAGCTTCCTACCTGTGTGCTTTATACATTACAGAATTGATAGTCTTAAGAACAAAGTCGAAGTGCAGACCTACATGAAGACCATGGAGGCAGAAACACTGAACAAATCCTCTCCAGGAGAAATCCTTACGGCCACCAGAGATAATCAGAAGAAGGGGTACTTGCTCTGGTGCAAGGTAAAATACGTCTCTAATGCCCACTTGGGGTATCTAGTCAGCATTGCCTCGTTGATAGTCTACGCAATCCTTATCCGCTCAGAAGCAAAGAAAGTGCACAGCGACCTAGGGTTCATCAACATGGCTCTCGTCATCATAACAGACCTTATCCTGATATTATGGGGAATGTGGTCAAGGTCAGGTTACTATGTGTCTCCGACCTATGTGTGCCTGATTGTTTTGGCCACAAGGGCTCTGTTATGTGTATGGCCTTACTACTGGATCATCACACACTCAGCAGTGTTCCTGATACTATTGATGATGTTCGCGACTGTTTGGATTTTTAAGAATATTCATGTAGATAGTAAGGAAAGCAGAAGAAACAAGAAACAACAGGAGCTACTGACCATTATTCAGGCCTGACCTGAACTACAGCAAGAGTTATCCAAGGATCTTGAAGGGATGAACCCAGATGAGTTGGTGAATCAAAAGAAGAACCAGCTCATGAATGCTCTCTGAGAACTAGTACCAATCACTATTCTCTTGATCACATTTATAGTATATGGCTCGATTATCTGGACCACTGATATCAATAGGGCTGTTGCCAAGAGAATAATAGTAGACAACCAGAGACTGCACCAAGGACTTTTCGTTGGCCTTGCGATTGCTATCTTCTTTGCCTATTCACTCATCGCTATCTGGCTTAGATTGTTCCAGTTGAATAGTTATAAAACCAATTGTTACCTCTTGTTCCAGGCTATAATCTCCTACATTGCGATAATCTTCATAGGAATTCTGTATGGCAACATTGTGTTGGACGATGTTGACAGTGGGACGAGGACAACTGCTATTACTGCTTTCTGCATTGCTCCGTTGTACATCTTCACTATCTGTATTTTCTATGGAATCTGGATGCATAACTTCTACAATTTTTATGCAAGTGCGAAGATAGCCAAGATTGCCCAAAATATGGAAGAGAGGAAGGATATGGAACGGAACGATTCGAATGATGAAATGGTCAGGAACAGCGATAATGGCAGCCAGAACCAGGGCCGCGACCAGGGCAAGGACGAACGCAAGAAAGTTAAGACTAAATATAGATGGCTTCCTCGATGCCACAGAGGAGAGCATGCCTTTAATGATTTCCTTAGTTTCTCTGTCTTTTGGATTAATGTCATTGGACTCTTGGTCGGCTTTATTATCTGAATTGTGGAATTTGAACCCAGGTGGATCGTTGCTTTTATATGGGCCTGGGCGATGCTTATTGAGTTTGGAGCCATGGGAATTATTAGGTTCATGCATCATGGATATTCCTCTAGAGATGAGTGGATCTGGATCTGTATTTGGGTCTGCATCGCTGCTTATATATGCTCCGCAGTCAGCTTTGGGTTTGGTATTGATAGGGCAAGTGATGATGACGAGACTACTTACATTATAGCCTTCCTTATTATCCATGTTGGTGTGATTTTGTTAGGAATATATCTAACTATTGGGTACAAGATTAAGCAAGAGATTAAAAAAAAAACTTATTCGAGAGTTATTGCGCTTGGAATTATGCTAATTACTCTTTTAATAGTCGGGCTTCTTCTGATCTTCGTTGCTGAGTGGTATGCAAGTGGATGTGGTATACTCACACTCTGATTTTACCTATTTCTGAAGATAGTCCAAATCGAATCTTGAATGACAAAATGGTTCAGTGATAGGACTTGGAATATTATCCAGCTGACTCTATTGACTATAATCATTGCAATTACAACAGTTATCCTAATCATTGAACTTGATGATGAAGAAAAAGCTGCACTAGAGGTTTTATCATATGCTTCCTATTTACTAGCTGCTATTTTCTGTGTGATGTTTTATTTCGAATACAGTCTAAATGAACAGAACAGTAAGCACCAGATCTATGTGTACAGTACACAGCTACTACCGATGCTAAAATACGTGCCATCTCAGAGTAAGTCTTTTTTAATGCATAGGCGGTGGGCATGACGGAAAGATGGTGCAAAACAACTCAGAATATATCTACTTCTTTGCTGCCACCCTTATCTTCCTTACTTGGTCTATCATTGCCGGGATGCTTCTCAAAGAGGATGAAAGATACATCGGCTTAGCCTGCACTTCGCTTGTGATCATCGTCGCTTTCTTGTATGTAGTGAGGAACTATAATAAAGCTAACTATTTCAAGTAAGGTTCTTTTAATCTTTAGAGATGTGGATATTCTCCAGCTTTCTTGGTCTAAGTACTGAGAACTTCAAATCCAGGCAATGGAATATAGGGACAAACTCACCAAAGATGACATGAATGTTAAGTAAGGATATGGTTTACAGTCTTAGCGAAGTTGAGGAGCAAGAAGATGAGGAAGAGCAAATTGACCCGAAGGAGGTAAGCCTCAGTCTAACTCTAGGTGGCTGATCGAAGAGAAACCATCCTCAAGACTACTAAGGAATGGAAGGAACTCGAACGTGTCTGGACTCGTATGGTTATGTGTGGCAAGAAGAGAATGGAGACTAAAATCGAGCTTGACAACCCACAAACAAGGAAACAGCATGAGGACTTCCAAGACCAAGAGTCTCTCTATGAGAGAGCCAAGATGATCACTGTGTGAGACGAAAGAGTTGATTCTGAGATCTTTAACAATGTGTGCTCAAGATCTTACTTTAAAGGCCTGATAGTACTTCACCTGCAGAACTTTAGGAAAGAGCTGAAGTCTAAGGTCAAAGCAGTTCTGAATGAAATGACGATTCTTTTGAAAGATAGCCAATTCAAGGACCATTTGGACAAGCTTCACTTCGCTCTGTTCGAGAAAATGAACAGTAACCAAGAGTTTAACCACTTTAATCAAATGTTTGCTGAATATGCAAGACTCAGACAGGAGAAACTTGATGAACTCAGAAGAAGACAGGAAGAGGAAGAGAAAAAGAGGCTTGAGCGTGAACAAAGAGAAGCAGAGCTTGCAGAGGAACTTGGAGGTAATTCTCATTGTATAACATTGTAGAAGATGACATTAACCTCGGACCTGGCGTCCTTGTCATGACTGATGTCGAGAACAAGCTCCATAATGAGTTTAACGAGAAGGGTGACCAGATTTTGAATAAGTTCAAAGATATGGAGAATTTTGAAGATGATGCTTTTTATGGTGACAAAGCTATATCTCTCACTGGAGATGTAGACAGCTATTCTATCTCTTCCTGGCTCAGACCACATGACATGGTCGATTCAAAGTTTAAAAAGATAACTAACCCAAAAGTTATTGTAGACGGGTTTGGGTGTAACGATATTGGGCAGGGAGGTCTTGGAGATTGTTGGTTCTTATCTGCTATGTCGTGCATTGCATTCTCCAGACCAGACATGCTGAAGAACCTTTTCCATCCCAAAACTTCTGATTATACTGGAAGTGGACCATATGTTATTAGGTTTTACAAAAGTAATGACTTAAACTAATATATAGACGGAAAGCTTAAGATTTGATACATTGATGACAGGTTCCCTTGCAGAGCAGATGGGAGATCTGTATTTTGTAAAACTATTACAGAAAATGGTCAGACAGAGCTATGGCCACTCATGCTTGAGAAAGCATTTGCTAAGATTCACAATAGTTACGAAGCTATTGATGGAGGCTTCCCAGACCAAGCTCTAGTTGACATGACCAATGGAATTGCTGAGGATATAAGATTTGACACGAAAGAATTCAAGAAACTCAAAAATGATGGGTCGTTCTGGCAGAAATTGCTGAGGAGCTGTTCTGACGGGCATCTGATGGCAGCTTCGAGTAAGGGAACATCTGATGCCGTCCAGACAAACCTTGGTATTGTCGAAGGCCATGCTTACTCAGTACTTGATGTCCAAGAAGTAAATTTGTGCTCTAAATCTGCTATAGATTGACAATTTCAAGCTTATTCAGTTAAGAAATCCATGGGGCAGCACTGAATGGAAAGGTGACTGGAGTGATACTGACAAGAAGCATTGGACAAAGAAGAGGCTGAAAGTAGCGAATTCAAGACAGAAAGCTCAGAATAGAAACCCTCTAGGTTCTGATGAAGATGATGGTGCTTTTTGGATGAGCATCGACGATTTTATCAATAATTACAGCAGTGTCAGTATTGTTAGGATCTATGAAGCCCCAACATGGAGAAAAACAAATGTCACTGGTACTTGGAAGGGAGAGACAGCTGGTGGTTGTCCTAACCACGACAGCTTTGGAGACAATCCTCAGTTCAAGCTTACTGTACCTAGGAATACATCTGCAATCTTCAACCTTTCTCAAACAGATAAAAGAGGAATTGGAAGAGAAAAGAACTTCTGTATCGGCTGGAGTTGCTTCTCTAATAATGGCCAGAGGATAGTTGGCAACAATACTCCTAGACCTGTCCACAAGTCAGGAACATACACAAATGTGAGGGAGAAGTTTACTGAAATATCACTAAAAGCTAGCGACAAGCCATATACCTTTGTATGCTCTACTTTCAAGCCAGGAGAGGAGACAGGATTCACCCTTTCAATTATTACAAAGGAAGAAATCTTTGTAGAATCGCTCTAGAAGCATTAACTACGAATGATTTTTCAATACGAATTTAGGCTTACGGGGTTTTGGGGTTTTGGGGTTTTGGGGTTTTGGGGTTTTGGGG